CTATTTATTCCACCTTTGTGAATCGTGGGGCCAGTGGCCTGCCCTAATCAAGAATGTGCACATCGTCCTCCTGATTAAGCCGTCTGGGGGATATCGTCCAATTGCCTTACTTCCGTCTATCTATCGCATCTGGGGCAAGGCGCGTCTCAATTGGGTTCGGTCTTGGGCTAGCTCGTTGAATCGGGGCTTCCTGGCGCTTGGGGCCCAGAAGAGCACGACGGACGTTGCCGCAAGATTGTTGGTCCAAGCTGAATCTACCTCTATCGAGGTGGCGGACTCCCCCATCACGGTGCATGCGATTATAGATATTGAAAAGTGCTTTGACCGTGTGCCGTGGAGACGGCTACTTGGATCGGCGGTGCAGCATGGCTTTCCTCCTACCCTCATGGTGCTTGCTGTGCGCATGTATGCGTCCGCTCGTCGCCTCTCATGGGATGCGTGTTTCTCGGCCCCTGTATGGGCTACGCGGGGAATATTGTCTGGGTGTCCTCTGGCGATGTTCTGTTTGCAATGTGTGATGCTTACGCCTTTTGATTCGTTGTCTGGGCACACCCAGCACATCGACAGGTCGATCGACATTTACGCCGACGATATCACGATTGCCATTGTTGGTACTGCCTATGCTATTGTTGATGCTGCTTGCTCCCTCCTCACCATCCTTGTGGACATGCTGCACGCCGTAGGTCTGCCGCCTGCGCGCCACAAGATGACGCTCACATGCAGTTCTCCCGCCATTGGCATGAAGATTGCCAAACGCTTGGCATGGCGCGGGTTTTGCTATCAGTCCGCTCTGGAAGTTCTGGGAATCGAGGTAAATGCAGGCCGGCCTATTCGGCATCGTAGGCTTCGTGAACGCATTCACAATACTCGTAAGCGTCAACCTCGGCTTCGACGGATTCAAAAAGCTGGGTCCCTGGCCGCTCGTTTCGCTAAGCAGGCCCTTCCGTCGGCCATGCAGTATGGAGTTGGGGTCCATGGGGCTCCGCCGCAGCTCGTCGAGGCCATGAGGGGGATTATGCGGGGCACTTGGTACACTCCAGGATCTACTACCTCTGCGTGGCTAACATCGTGCCTCCAGGGCTCTATGTATGAGGACCCCCAAGTTGCCTGCTGGGTTCAACCAGTTTATCAGTGGGCTTTATTGTTTCGGGATCGTGGTGTTCACCATAGCACCCTGCAGAAGGCTTGGACGCGTCAGGTCTTCCGTGTCCTCCAAGCGGCGAAGCCTTGGGCTAACGTCGCTGGGCCAGCAGGAGCGATGCTCTTGGCGGTGCAGGCTCTTGGCTGGAGGACGACCTCAGCCTCTAGTATCGTTACGGATGTTGGAGATTGTTTGGATCTTTTGACAGATGCACCTGTGACGGTGCGTGACCTCGCTCGTGCTGCTGCCGTCCGCCGTATGTGGGAAGCATGGAGTTTGAGGTCAAACCCTGCTGATGATAATATGGACCCCAAGGAGCCCCTCGGATATTGGATGGAGCCCATTCTGGGACTCTTGAAGGATCGTCCGCATGACCCCGATGAGGACCCTGAACCTGACCCTGAAGGCCCTTGGAAGCTTACTGTGTCTGAGGATGGGCTCTTGAGGGCCTTGGTGGGAGGGGGACTTTGGTCCCCGCATCGACTTTATCGGCATGGATACGCTCGCACATCTTGCTGCCCTGCGTGTGATTGTGAAGTATGCACCTCATATCATATTTCTTGGGAGTGTGTCGGACGTGCAGCACAGCAGCGGGCGGCAATGCGTAGTGTTGATTGTCGGGGCCTGCCGCCACGCTCGCCTGGCTCCTGGTTCTGGACAAGAGGCATGGCACCTCGGTCATGTTTTCCGCCAGTGCCTCCACGAGATGATAGTGGACGCTGGCACATTCAATACGGGTCCCTTGACAATGTCACGGGGGACATCTACACGGACGGTGCGTGCAGAAAAGCATGGTACTGGCCTGAGGCTACGAGAGCGGGATGGGGGTTCGTGAAGTACGTTAGGCGTGACATCCAGCTTCTTGTGTACGGAGCTCTTCCTGGACCCATTCAGAGCTCACCTAGGTCTGAGTTGTATGCCTTTTTGCAAGTTCTAGTTGTATGCATCTTACCCATACATGTGCATACCGATTTTTATGGCCTTGTTGAGGGCCTTGTCTTGGGCCATGGTTTCTGCTGTGGCCCCAGGCGGCCAAATACCGACCTCTGGGAGGCTATCTGGAGAAAGCTTGATGACCTCGGCGGCCTTGGAGAGGCCATTCAAGTTTCGCATGTCAGGGGTCACCAGTCTGGCGACTCCGTAGAGGCACGGTCCAACAGATGGGCCGATTTCGCCGCCTGCCGCGGGCGGGACCTCCACTCAGCTAACAAGGCTGCATTCACTTCCATGAGGATAGCCCTCAGGTCTGTGAGGGGTGTGCTCAAATGGCTTTTGCAGGCTCATTCGTCTCACTTGTCACATGGACGCGTGGCCACTTTTCGGCGCCCTCGGAAGATGAAAGTTCGGTCTAAAGTCAAAGCTTCCAGGGCGCCTGAAGCTCATCTGAAACACGTTTTTACGCCGGTTCGGGATAAGTTCTGGCGGTGTGATTTTTGCAAGAAGGGGGCCAGATCTGAGGAGAGGGTGCAGCGTTTCTCCAATTGGGTTTGCCCTGCGCGTGCTGCGTCCAGCCGTGGGCCTAGGGGGACTTCGCTCTCTCCTGGTGGTTTGGGCGCTGGCTCCGAGCCTCGGGAGGCTCTGCCCCCCCCCGACTCAGGGTCAGCCTGGCAGAGGGGTGCAGCCTATGAGAGCTTCGACCTCGTCAGGCACCGAGGTCGACCTCTCTGGGCCCCTCCCCTCGACTGCTCGCTGTACCTTGGGTGGTGCGTCCCTGGGTGAGGGGGTGGAGAGGGCGAAGCGACCCGCCTCCCGCAGCCCCTCGGTGGGCCGTGTGTCGCGGCAGAGGCTGCTGCGTGAAGACCTCCCTCGGAGACGGTCTGCCTCGCCGCCAGAACGTTCCGTGCGGGCTAGGGTGAGTTTCGACCCTGTCGTTTTGAGTCGCACTGTTGATGCGGCTGAGTTGGCACAGGCGGTCCAATCAATTGATCGGTCCTCTCCCTCGCCCGACTCTCGTCCCCTTGTCGTGAGTCGTCCGAGTCGTCCGAGATTCCTTGACAGGGAAGGACCAGCCTTTGTGCCTGATATGCCTCAATCAAAGCGGCAGCGGCTCCAGCCTAGGGGTCGCCCGTCGCTGTCGCAGACTACTGTCCCAGCCGCGTTTCTTCCGTTGACGGGTATCGTGCCACCAATCGCTTCTCGCGGTCATAGATGTTGGGTCTCAGAAGGCCACATTGTCTTATGCATTCGTTGCGGGTTTTACAGCTCGGGCGTGGCCAGTCACCTTCTGTTGGAGTGCTCACCGCCACCTGTCATGAGCGAGCGAGCCCAGAGGAATCGACGTTTGTTTCTTGACAGGTTTCATCCTGCAGATGAAGGCCGTGTGAACTCACGGCGCATCCCACAACCAAGGCCCCTTAGGGTGGACGATGCTGAAACCTCCTGGCTGCGTCTCCTAGGGCATTGAGTTGTTTTTTTCTTCGGCCCGTCCCAAATCTCCTGGACTCTGGCCGTGGCTCCAGGATCGGTCCTGGTGCCCCTTTTAACTCGTTTAGTTTTTGTTGGTGGGGTGGCTGGGTGGTCCGTTGTCGACGTCCGTGAGTCGCGTGCGCGCGCGCCCCTCGCGCGCGCGCGCGCGCACCTGGTGTACGGCGATTACAGCCAGGACCGCCCACGCCGCCGCCGCCGCCGCCCGTCGTCCGTCGCCTCCTGCCGCGATCCTCTTGGTGGGCGGGTTGCGTCACTTTGGATGACTGGGGGAGGCCGCTTGCCCCCCCCGCTTTAAGGTGTATGTCGGTGCTCCGCGCGACATTTCCCTATAGCGTCGTCCTCCTCCTCCTCCTCCTCCTCCTCCTCCTCCTCCTCCTCCCCCTCCCCCTCCTCCTCCTGCTCCTCCTCCTCCTCCCCCTTCCAGGACATTACGAATAGCAGGAGGGGAAAACTACACAGACAGAATGAATCGTCGACTCCCAGGAAAGTATGGGAAAATATGGGAAGTGGGGGGAAGAGAAAAACACCGAAAGTATGGGAAAGTATGGGGAATCCAGTTATTTGTGTGTATTTATTTGTGTGTCCCAGGGCCCCTTCATGGGAAGTGGGGGGGAGACAAAAACACAGAAAATATTAGGAAATATGGGGAACCCAGTTATTTGTGTGTATTTACTTGTGTGTCCCATGGCCCCTTCATAATTAGGGAGGCAGGAGGGGGAGAGAGAGAGAGAGAGAGAGAGATAGAGAGAGAGAGGAAAAAGGGGGAGCGCGGCGGTCGCAGTAGCGGCTCAGGCTCCGGGGGAAGAGAGAAGGGTGAGACCAGGCCCGCGTCCGAGGGAAGAGCGTTGAACACTTTCACGAGCTCAGACTGCCGGACATCCGAGGGGGGTCTCTCTGTTTTGGGTCCAGCGTGCTTTCCCAGGAGCTCTGCGCGGACCTCTGCACTATCATGCTCATGCGTGTCTGGGAGAAATTCAAAAGATTCGGATACCGCTGCTCCCCAGACCTCCTCCAGGGTCCGCTCTGGCCAGAATTCCGGGGCGACTCCGCCGTAGCGACGAGGGCCTCCCAGGAGGCCCAGATAGGCCGAGCCCGCTCGGGGGGTCTCGGTATCGGTACCTCTCCCCTCACTGACTTCGGAGGGCACCAGAGCTATAGACCTGCACCGATCCCGGCCCGTCCGATCCGAGGCACGGGATCGATGTAGGTGCATTCTGCCGACGGCAGGGGGCCCTCGGCATCGCTCGGGCGTGTGTATTTTTCCTTGGGCGAGGACCATCGAGGAGCATCCTTGATCAATTGGCGAAAAAACCACGCACGAAACCGAAAAAAACACAGGGAATGGACGTCCGAGCGATGGCCCGGGGCGTATACACCGATCCTGGGCCCAGGGTGATCCTGGCCGGGATCGGTGTTGGTGTATTTCTGGTGCCCTCCTATGACTTCCGCTGAGCCTCTGGACAGGTGCGGCGAGGCTCTTCCGAGCAGGCCGCGCGGGCGCGAGCGCCGACGCCGCTCGGCCCGCTGCGCTGCCTCGTGGGGCGAGGCCTGTCCGAGCCTCCTGCCCGCGGGGGGTGGGCGGCCCGCGGTGTCCGGGCTGGCGCGTGGCAGAAGGGCGCCGGGCATCGTCGCATGCCGCTGTTGCCCGCCAGCATTCCAGCAGTGGCGGTCCTGGCGTGCCTCTAGTCCTACCAGACACTGTTCTGGGAACCTTTTGTGGCTCCCACGAAATGTTCTCAGAGCATGTCTGGTTGGGACTCTCTTGTTTTATCCCATCGGGCTCTATGTTCTAAGAACGTTGTTTTTGTTATTCGAGCATTTTTCGGGTTCTGAGAACATTTCGTGGTAGGACTATAGGAATGCCGGGACGGTCGGTCCCTGCTCCAAGCATGTCGGTTGAGGCAGGAAACACTGCGTAAGCACAAACTTTACCGCTACTGTGCGCTTCCCTCGTTTTCGCTTTCTTGAGGGCCTGGCCATGGAGGCCAACGTCGCGACGGCGGCATTTTCCGCGAAACCCTGGGAGAGGTCCGGGGAGCAGCTAAGAACTGCAAGCTGGCCCGCGCTGGCCCAAGAATTCCGCGCGGACCTCCGAAATATGAGTTTGTCTCTCTGCAGCTTCTGTTACCCAAGCAGTGCTTACACATAGGGCACGTTGCTTGCGTCAAGAACAACTCCAGACGCTTCGCGTATCCCCACCTGTTGGTGCTGCGTGAGGCTCCGCCTAGCCGCTTTAGGTGAGGCTGCGCCCCGTTGATTTAGGTTAATTTGTCGTTGCGTGCCCCGCTTTGACTGGACTCGCCGCTGGCGCGCTCGCCTGCGGCCGCTGACTAAAAAAGTATCCCCACCAGTTTTCCTGGCAGCCCGGGTAGCTTGCATCCCCCGCCCCCGGCACCTCTTGCAGCCCCGGCGCTGAGGCTTCCCCCGGCGGTAGGTCCTGCTTTGCTCCGCGCTAGGTAATTAGGCTCCCGCGCGGCCCGCTCGGACCTTACTCGCCGCTGGCGCTCTCGCCTGCGGCTCCTAACAAAGAAGTATCCCCACCAGCCAATCCAGAAACGATGTCCAGGCGAGTTGAGGTGATCGGGAAAGTGCGGCAGCAAAGAGTGGGACGGCCGAGCCGTGCAAAGGAGTGAGGAGGAGAAGGAGGAGGTGGATGGATGGATGGATGAGGGAGTGGGAAGAAGGAGGATGAGTAGGATGAGGAGGAAGCGGAGGAGGAGGAGGAGGAGGAGGAGGAGGAGGAGGAGGAAGAGAAGGAGTAGAAGGAGGAAGAGGAACAGGAGGACGAGGAGGGCGAGCATGCCATGTCTTTGCGTTTCCCAGAGGTCTCTTGGATGCCGCTCGGAGTCTCTTGGGGTATCTCTTGGGCGACTCTTGGTTGCCTCTTGGGACGTCTTGGGGATCTCTTGGCGGTCGTGGGGGGCTCTTCGGCGTCTTGGGTGCCTCGGGGGGGGCTCCTTGGGCCGCTTGGGATCCTTTTGGGGGCCTCCTGGGGGCCTCTTGGAGGCCTCTTGGGGCCATCTTGGGGCCATCGTGGGACCTCTTGGGGCCTCCTGGGTGCTTCTTGGGGCCATCTTGGAGGAGATCGATCAAACAAGAAGGAAGCTTTAATTAGGGTCCCCCCCATCAGGAGGCCAAAATGGGGCCAAAACCATGGTAAAACAACCAATGATTTTGGCTTCCTCGCCTAGGCCGTTTTGGACGCTCCGACACCTCGCGGAACCCTTTGTCCAGGTCCAGGGGAGGGGGTAGGGGGAGGGGGAAACCCCTCCCCGAAGGGGAAGAAGGAGGGGTGGAAGAGGAAACTCTCTAAACCACCGGCGCCCAGAGGGCTGGTGGGATTGGATGAGTCTGGCGATGTTTCGCCACGTTGCCGCCCGTTGTCGCCTCGTTGTCGCCTCGTGCGCTAGGTGTGTCTGGCGAGGTTTCGCCACGCTGCCCCCCGTTGCCGCCTCGTTGCCGCCGCCGGACGCTGGGAACTGGGTGGGTCTGGCTTCGTTGCCGCCTCGTGCGCTGGGTGGGTCCGGCGAGCTTTCGCCACGTTGCCGCCCGTTGCCGCCTCGTGGCCGCCTCGTGCGTTGGGTGGGTCCGGCCAGGTGTCGCCACGCTGCCGCCTCGTGGCCGCCTCGTTGCCGCCAGGTGCGCTGGCTGAGTCGTGCCAGGTTCCGCCTCGTTGCCGCCCGTTGCCGCCCCGCTGCCGCCTTGGGTGCTGGGTTAGGGGGGCACATGCGAACCCTATCCCTACCCCCCACGATTTCTGAGGGGGAGGGTGGGGTTCACTTCGCTCGGGGGGTAGGCCCCTATGGGTGGATCCGGCGAGGTTATGCTACGTTGCCGCCCGTTCCCGCTTCGTTGCCGCCTTCAGCTTGCACCACGCATACTGCACTACGCAGGTCGCCCCAGGGACTTCGCCCATCCACAGTGCAAGTACTTACCAGTTGGGGTCCACGCTGGCTGACGTGAATTCCTGCATCGATTCCGGACGCTCGGGTTTCATCCTGGGCCCCGTCACAGGCAAGACCGGACTTGGGGCAACAAGCTGGCCTCGGGTCAAGGGGTCGCCGCGCTCTATCGCATCCCGTTGTTTCGGCAGGTTCGACCCGTGTCGACGCGGCGGCGGCCTCAGCTCGTGGGTTCAAGGTCGAACGCCTCCGTCGAGCGATCTGCGGCACCTCGACCGTTCAAGGTTGAGCGATCCACTACCACGCTTGTGCGCAAGCTTCACGACACTGCCGTGCCTACCATGGCGAGGGACGTGAATTGACCACCTCACCGATCCTGGCCAGACCAACCCGGTGCCCAGGACCGGTGCAGAGGCCTTCCTGGCTTGACCAGGGAGGCGCAGGCCACAGGCACCGGTCCGGGGCTCAGAAAAACGCGTCCGATTGTGCCGACATTCGCGCGTAAGTTGCCTGCGTCTGGTTTTTTTGGATCGAGCCTCAAGCGACATGAAAATTAGGCTACGCGTTTCGCCCCCCAGGGGAATTCCGAGGCAAATTGACAGTGCAGCATCGAACCAGCAACGTCGACTGCATCTCTGCGCTCCGCCTCCGGTTCCATCGTCGACGTTGATCGTTCGGTGGCGCGTAAGCGCCGTCGTTATCAAAGCAGCGTGGCGTGCTTGCGGCCCGCGTAAGCCGCCGCGTGAGGTTGCTGCATCGCCTTGCGTGAGGTCGCTCGGTCACTCTCAGTGGACGCTCTCAGTGGACGTCCCCCGAATCATCGTCTCGGAAGAGGGCCAGTCGAGGCAGCGGCAGCCATGCTTGGTGTGTTTCGTCCTTTTTGAATCTCTTGGAGGCCTCTTGTCGCCACGGCTGGATCCGCCTCAAAAGACGGGTCGGGCAGGGGTCAATGACGGTCAATGGACCTATTTTGAGCGGATTCGGATCGGGGGGACAGCAGCCGTTGTCTCATCCGCCCCTTCCATTCCATCAGGTTGTTAAACAACCGTCATCGCAATGTTGAGGTCGTCTGGCCTAACGCTCACCACCGGGCCTTAGTCCCCAACCATCTTGTGGTGCTGGGTCCTCGAGTCCTGCCTCCCGAATCCCTCAAGCGTAATCAACCCTGCAGTCCCTGAGCCCCGCATCCCTGTTTGGGCGTCGAGCCACCGCCTGGACACAGCGACAGGCCGCCGAGACAAAAAGCTCGTGGCCAGCCCCCCGGCAGGAAGACACCTAGCGGTCGCATTGCGGCCTTCACGGTGGCGCTGCCACTTGTCGAGGAGCAATCAAACAACATGAACACACACACATTTTCGACGCTCCGCGCGGCTTGTTTGGATCGGCGCCGAGGCTCCTCTGGCGGCGCTTGCAGCTCCGATCTCCGAATGTTTATGCTTATGCAATGTGTGCCAGGAGGGAAAAATCACAAACACAAATGCTCGTCGATTCCATCGAAAATGTGGAAATTATTGGAGGGGGAGGGGAAGACGGAAACACGTAGAGAATGTGGGGGATCTTGAGATTTGTATACATATATATATATATAGATCTATGATATTTATATATATATGTATATATAGATCTATGTATTGTTTGTATGTCCCTGGACCCCTGTCAGTGTTGCTTCTCGAACCTGGCCGTGGAGCCTCGCCGAAGACATGGACCGTCGGCGCCACTGGATGGATGATCTGCTCGGCCCAGGGTCCGGGCGGTTGTGCGCGCCGCGGCCGGGTGCCGCACTCAAGAGGATCCCGTCCGCCTACGGCCACTCTCTGGCTGCCCGAGGACCGCCAACAAAACGTCGGAGCGGCTCAGGGGGAGAAGGTAGCAGCCCAGAGCCCGGGGAAAGTCTGAGGTCCGGGAGCCCAGGGGCCCTTCGGAACCCTCGTGCCGAGAGTGTGCAGCCAATCTGGCTCCCCAGGGGAGCCCGAAGGTTTGGGCCAACATGAGGTTGGGGGCATGCTTCGACGTTGGAGGCAAGGTCTTTGCTTGCCGTGGAAGAGGTCGCAGTCTGGAGCCCGGAGTCATCGTTGGACCTCGTGGTCTCCATGAGCTGCGAAACGCTCCAGTTTGACATCCGCGTCGGCCGCCCAGGTCGTCTGCCCTGAATCTGCCTGGTTACGCATCGAAGTTTGTCTTCCTTGTCGTTTCAATGTGATCGATGATGTACGTTCGCCGGCGAATCATTGTTCGTTTTTGGATGGCGTCTTCTGCCCAGCCTCGCTTAGGCAGAGCCCCTCCCACCTGGCGGCCATGGGGGCCCCCGGCGCGCTCCGCGCGGCGGCCGCTGCCACATGCGCGCTGGGCTGCCGAGGCCCGGACACGTGCAGGAGTGGCCGGCAGAACGCGGAAGGAGTTGTCGGGGGCGGCCAAGAGGGGGGCGATGGTCAGGACCCCGGGTAAGGGGATCCCGTTAGTGGCAGGGCCCTGGGGCCCCTACATTGGCCAGAATCACCAAACCAGGTCTGCCGTAGCAGGGTTTTTTTCTGGTGACGGCAGTTCCGGTTCGTGGAAATGGGACGGGGGGCCAAGAGTCGGAAGCTGGGCAAGGGCTGCTAAAACCGTGGCAACTAAAGCGGCCCTCCCAGAAGGAAGAAACAACTTCCCCGAATGAGGCGCGGCACGCGAAACAGTCAATGGGTTTCTTCCCGGAAGGACGAAGACAACGTCCCGGAGGTCGAATTAGAGCAGCCGCGGATCTAGCAGCCCTTGCCCGGCTTCCGAAAGAGGGGGGCAATGACCGGGGGGGGGCACGAACAATGACAGAAACATAAACACTCGCGGGTCCGCGCGGATTTCTCGGATCCGCGCTGGACCTCCCCGGCGCCGTGCACGCTGGCACGCTGGCGGATCCGCCCCTGGCACGCTCCGTGCGCCAGGGAGGGGGTCCAACGCCGATCCGAGAAAACCGCGCAGACCTCCGGGTTTTTATGTTTATGTCATTTCTCGTTCCCCTATAGGAGGGGGGATATCATGGTGTGGGCCATGATATTTCCCCAGATTTCATGGCGCCTCCTCTAATTTCATTACTTCCCTGGTCCCCCTCGGGCCGCGCACATGCCGCCAGTCATGATTTGCGCCCCTCCCCCTCTTGGACACCCCCTTCTTGGCCTCCCCCGAAGTTGCCTCGAGCGTCCAGTAAAGGAGGTGCGATTGGGGGATGGGGGGGGGAAAGGTGCATCGGTGTGCCATGCTGAGCCCCAAGGGTGCCCCCTGGGGCCCAACAGGACACGAAAGCTGCATTTTTCTCTCAACCAAAAATATCGACCCCTACTAATTAACGCCCAGATGCATCTCTGTATATGGCCATCCAAGTGGATGTTGTTGGCCTGCCAGGCCCCCGTTCCGTAGCTATTGCTGGACTGTGATACAAAATATAGTTGGGGTTAGGCTATTGGGGACACAGTAGTCATACCGATCTTGAGTGGCTCTCCAGTGGCTCTCCTTGTGTGCCACAGATGCGTGTCCCGTGTTTTACGTTCGAGGTTTTGTGTTTGCGTTTGGAAATTCACCCATTGGTGGTGCGAACCCAACGTTTACACTGGCCTTTTTCTGGATCAGCTCGTCACGCGTCTAGTATCCATTTGTGTTCTTCCAAGTACATCAACGCAGCCACGCCTCACGATCTTCCCTATCCACTCTCGGATCAGCTCCT